TTTATAGTGGAATAAAGTATTTTATTGTTCAGGCTGGCCAACATGGCAAAACCCCACCTCTACTAAAAATACAAAAGTCAGTCCAGCATGATGGCATTGTCCTGTAATCCCAGCTACTTGGAAGGTTGAGGCAGGAGAATCACTTGAACCTGGGAGGTGGAGCTTGTAGTAAGCTGAGATAATTTCACTGCACTCCAGCCTGGGATACAGAGTGAGACCCAGTCTCAAAAAAAATAATTGTTTTGTATTATAGCAACTATATGTACCTTTCTTTTTATTTTTCCTTAGGGAGGACATAACCTTCTTTTCTCATGCTAGTTCCCTTGACCCACACTCACGTGGCCAGCAAGGGTTAAGCCCTACATGTTTGTGTCTTGTCTGTATCTTCAGAGTCAGAGCAGCATAAAGGGGGAAGACATAGCTTAGTTACCTCACCAGCCACAAAAATTAGCGAGCAAAAATTAGAGGGTTGGGGATGGGGAGTTATACATCATTATGCAGAGCATAATGCTGATAAGCAAAGCAGTCTTTAGGAGCCAAAAAGTACATAGCTGCACCTCCCCACATAACAAATGACGATAAAATGGGCTACAATGAAGAGTAAACCTGTATCTACAGGACAGACAACACTTTCTTCCCAACATGATAATTTCACCCCAATGTATGACAATCCAGTATTTCAATAGTCAAAAATAAATGAATGTTAAGTCACACAGTTAAGAAACCATACTTTTGTTTTATAGTTTTTGGCTTTTGAAACATCTGTCTTTCTGAAAATATATTATCTATTTATCTATCTGTCTGTCTGTCTATATATATCTAACTATCTACCTATCAATCATCTATCTAGATATTATTATATAGTCTACAAACTACCGACAAAAATCCTATAAGGAAAGTAAAGACACTCCTCAAATCTCAGTATTCAAGTTAAAAATATATTAATATTTTAGAAGCTTAATATCAGATATATCTCTCTCTCTGTATATATGACTATAAACATAAGTAGTTCTAAATGATGTAATGTGGTATCTTGTATTATGTTAAAACAAATTTTAAAAAAATTAAATTTTCTAGAATTAAATGAGAGCAGCAAAAGTATTTTTTTTTTGTAAAAGATATTAATTCCCGTAAAAAAATCAAAGGCAAAATAAATCTGTACATAAAGTTTCAGCATCTGGTAGCCTGCTGCTCTAAAAGATTAGAAAGAAAAAATACCCACATCTCTCTAATTCCCATAATTATCACTTTAAAATTTCTGTGCCTATAACATTTATACTCTGTCCTGCAACTAACAACTATGCTGTTTAGTGAGGTCTTATATTGAAATGAGTTCCATTATGGAAGACAGTGTGGCGATTCCTCAAGAATCTATAAATGGAAATTCCATTCGACTCAGCAATCCCATTACTGGGTATATACCCAAAGTACTATATATTGTTCTATTATAAAGACACATGCATATGTATGTTCTTTGTAGCACTGTTTATGATAGCAAAGACCTAGAACCAACCCAAATGTCCATCAATGATAGACTAGACAAAGAAAATGTGGCACATCTACACCATGGACTACTACGCAGCCATAAAAAACGATGAGTTCATGTCCTTTGTAGAGACATGGATGAATCTAGAAACCATCATTCTCAGCAAACTGACACAAGAACAGAAAACCAAACACTGCATGTTTTCACTCATAAGTGGGTGATGAACAATGAGAACAATTGGGCACAGGGAAGGGAACAACACTTGCAGGGCTAGGTCAGGGGGTAGAGGGGAAGGAAGGGGAGGGACAGTGGGAGGACGGGGAGGATGGGGAGGGATAACACTGGGAGAAATGCCTGATGTAGGTGTCAGGGGTGGGGAGCATGGATGGAGACAGCAAACCACCATGGCATGTAAGTACCTATGTAAGACATGTACATATACCCCAGAGCCCAAAATACAATTTAAAAAAAAGAAAGAAAAAAGAAATGGGTTCCTTACTCAACATCAGTCACTTGTCCACATTTTCTTTATTGTGCACTTTCCAGTTTCTCATTGTTGAGTAGATTGTATCATTTGTATTCCTGCAGTGCTGTATGTATGACAGAACTTGACCTGCCCAGATTTACTGTCATATTATTCAGTCATATTTTCCCTCAAAACTTTCAGAAGTAGCATTTTCTGACTCTGCTTCCATTCCTTACAGTTGCTTTTGGTCTCTTGGTGTCATGGCACTTATTTTAGGGAAAAATACATTCTCTTGGCACCTAGAATTATATGGTATATCTTTTTTATATTTTGTTCTAGATTTTCTTTTTCTTTTTTTTTTTTTTTTTTTTTTTTTTTTTTGAGACGGAGTTTCACTCTTGTTACCCAGGCTGGAGTGCAATGGCGCGATCTCGGCTCACCGCAACCTCCGCCTCCTGGGTTCAGGCAATTCTCCTGCCTCAGCCTCCTAAGAAGCTGGGATTACAGGCACGCGCCACCATGCCCAGCTTATTTTTTGTATTTTTAGTAGAGATGGGGTTTCACCATGTTGACCAGGTTGGTCTCGATCTCTCGACCTTGTGATCCACCCGCCTCGGCCTCTCAAAGTGCTGGGATTACAGGCTTGAGCCACCGCGCCCGGCCTGTTCTAGATTTTCTAATACTGGGATGGTCTGTATTGTAATTATCATTTGGGTATGGACAGTCCATTGTGTCATGTTTTTCTGTCTATATTAATTATTTTATAGTTGTTTCCAATTATTTTTACAAGAGAGAAATAAATTTAAATTTCTATTACTTCAACATCTTTAGGCAGAACTTTTGATAACTTATAATAACTCAACAATACTTTCATGTCCATTGCCTGATGAATATCAAGTTATAAAAATGAGCTAATTTATACTAATATTACATTAAAACTGCATTTTTGTTATGTTCCTCTACCTTTGCTTTTAAATCATTCTTTTACCAAGTCTTTTTACTGACTGAGACTTCTTCATACTTCTGTGAATACCTTATATTATTCTGTATTTACTAGGTTAGCTTTTTCTTATCTCTATTCTTCTTGGTTTTTGGTCTTCCTAAACCTGATATGCCTTTCTTTACTGATGCAAGATTTTTTTCTCCCTGTCTTTATTATTTCCTCTTGTTTTTATTTTGAGTTTCCTCCTGCTCTCTTTTTTTCCATCTTTGCTATAGCCCTTCCCTCCTTCCCTCCTTCCTTCCCTCCTTCCTTCCCTCCTTCCTCCCTCCCTCCCTCCATTCCTCCCTCCATCTCTCCCTTTCTCCTTCCCTCTCTTCTTCCCTTCCTTGCTTCCTCCTATATTCTTTCCCTTTTATTTTTTTTTACTTCTAGAATTGGTTGACTCAAGATTTATTTTATGATTTCATATTTTTATTTTCCTTTAGTTTTATTAAGGTGCAATCACAAAAAAATTTATATATTTATACTTTTTTACATGGTGTTTTGATATACGTATTGTAAAATAATTAACCCAAAGTAATTAATATATCCACGACACCACAATTATTTTTTATAAAGGGTGAGACCACTGAAAAGCTATTATTTTAGCCATTTTCAAGCATGCAACACATTATTATTATTATTTATTGTACTTTAGATTCTGGGATTATGCAAGATTGTTGATCATCTAGGATGTTGCATAGTTACATACATGGAATGTGGTTTGCTGCCTCCATCTCTTGGTAACCTATATCTGGCATTCCTTTCCATGTTATCCCTCCCCAACCTGCCCCCCTCACTGTCTCTCTCCTAGCCCCCACCAACAGATGTCAGTGTGTGATGCTCACCTCCATGGTGACTACAGTCACCATGCTATAAATAGATATCCAAAACTTATTCATATTGTCTAACTAAAACTTTGTAACTTTTAACAACTATCTCTTTTTACTCCCTCTCCACCCAAGCCCCTTCCAACCATCATTACTGATTTACTGAATAAAACATCGTGGTCTTTGTTTGTTGACCCATATTTATCTAAGATAATATTGTTTCCTTCCTTTTTAAGTTGCTATTCACCCATATTTCTACCAGTGCTCCTTTGAAGCAAAAGAGTTTTTGCCTCTGTCCTTAATTATGTTCTTTTACTCTCAATGAATTGCTACAAAATTTGAAACTGCTGGTTACTAAGGAATACCATGATTTAAGGTCAAGGACTCAAGTTGTAGTTGAACACATCTAGCTACCTTTACACAGATTTTATAACACAGCTACATTCTGGGTCCTGGAGGAAAAATTACAAGGCTATTTGCATCTTTAATAGGGACTAAGTTTTTACGTTAATATACAGTAGATACAAAGTGCTCTTTTTAATACACTGTATACATTTTAGGAGTCAACGCTTTTACATCTTTAAGTGATTTTTGATTAACAGAACTTTTTTTTTTTTTTTTTCTTCTGAGGTGGAGTCTCACCCCATCGCCCAGGCTGGAGTGCAGTGGCGTGATCTCGGCTCACTGCAGCCTCGACCTCCGGGGTTCAAGAGATTCTCCTGCCTCAGCCTCCAGCGTAGCTGAGATTACAAGCACCCACCACTAGGCCCAGCTAATTTTGTCTATCTTTAGTAGAGAGGGGTTTCATCATGTCGGTATCGAACTCCTGACCTTGTGATCCACCCTTCTCGACCTCCCAAAGTGCTGGAATTACAGGTGTGAGCCACCACGCTAGCCCGTTTCACAGGAATTTTGACTTTAAGTGTTTATGCCATTTTGACTTTATTATTTCAAACAACTTCAAAATGTCTTCCATTTTGACTTACTATCTCTAACTTCCAGCCTAAATTTTTCTGTTATTCCCCAACAGAGATTACATGAGAGGTTCATGGTATCTATAATCTTTTTTTTTTTTTTTTTTGATAGAGGTGGCAAGAATGATTTTTGGTGCCTGCCAACATCTGTTGTGTGACTATATATATATATATATATATGTTATATATACATATATAGTTATAAATATAACATGTTCTTAATTAACATGTTTATTGATAAAAGAATCAAAAGTTGGCTTACCTCCTCGCTTGTTTATCTTGGCATAGCCGGGAGAATAGCTACCAGACATGGAGGAGGAGCTGCTGAAAGACACATGGGGGAGTCCGGAGACAAGGGGCTCATCACATTTTTCTAAAAACAAAAGAGAGAGAGAGAGAGACTCAATAAAGATTTCTGAATAATGACTGGTATGTGTTGGTTAAAATAATCATTGAATCTGGCTTGTCTTTTATAAATCTTTGAAACAACATTTAGCAAATGAATTTAGGCAATTCTGTTATGCCAAACATAATAAAACACAGGACCGGTTTACAAAGCCATAGCAAAGGACCTTACTCTGAACGACCTCAACACAGATTTGCTATCTGAGAAGCATGAGCAAAACTGAGCTTGTTCCTGTAACAAGCTTTGGTATCTGGCATCTCCTGGAAATCTTCAAGTATTTATACATTACAGAAACAGAGCACTTGAGTCATTGAGGTTGGAGGGAAGAAAAAGAGGACTCCTACCAAAGCTAAAAGACCGAGAATGAGGAGTTGCTAACCAACACGTATAACATTTCAGTTATGCGAGATGACTACGTTCTGGAGATCTCATGTGCAATATTATAACTCTAGATAATAATGCGCACTTATCAAGGCAGATCTCATGTTGCACGTTCTTACTAGAAGAAATAACTAGACATCAGCAAGTGAATGCACAATAATCATAAACTTGAAAATTATTACTGCCAGAAAAATTAATCAGTTTCCATCATACTCAACCAATCAACAGCACTGGAACCACCGATACCTCAATTCTATTTGTAACACTTTCTGCCCTTGGCTTTTATAATGTCATTAACATTTTTTTCTCTCTCTCTTCTCATTAGCTGCTTGCTCTCTGATTCCTTTGATGAATCTTTCTCATTTTGCTAATGAGTAAGTGTTCCTAATGTTAGCGTGGCCAGGACTCTTCTGAGCCTACCCTCTCTTTCTGGGAGAGGGCATGGAGGACTACGTCTTCTGATTGTCAGAATGTTCCAAATCCTACTGCCTCGCTTCAACTCCATAGCTACAGAACAGGCACACACAGCTTCCAGAGATCACTGTCACAAAAGACTGTGTGGTCTTCCTGCATCCCCTCTCTGCTACAGTTCTTCCACCTGCGGCAGCTGAAGAAACACTTTTTAAACTGTAAGTGAACAGGTGGCTGCTGTACTCAAAATGTTCTCAACTTGGCACACTGTTCATACTGTTTGAAGTCCCCCTGCCACCACCCCGTCACCCAGTGGTCTACGATGGCCACAGCACTCTTCTCATCTCTTTCCCCATGTCTTTGTCCTGTCTAGCCACCATGGCCCCCTGACCCTGCTGTAAGCCTTTAAAAAGACCATTCCAAGTATCCTCTCTTGTCACCTTTGCCATTGCAGATGCGCTTTGCCAGTTCACCCAGCATTTTGTTGCCATCAGCCTCGGTACCCACAGCCTGCTCGATTTTCCACCATAACACTTAGCACCGACTGACATATTATGTTGCTACTTATTTAATTGTTTTGTTGCCTTTCTCTCCCACTAGTGAGCAAGCTCTATCTGAAATGAAGTCTTAGATAGGTGGCCTAATGCTTACTCTTCAGTGATCTGAACAAGGGTACTTGGTACATAATCTAAAAACATTTGCAGAATACATGAATGAATGCACTAAATCCGATGAACCTCAAAGAGTCTGGAAGCATGGTCTCATATTATCACATGACACAACACTTAAATTTTAGAGTGGTGGTCTTAAATTCTCAACAAATGTTTATGTTCAGATCTCTATTTAATAAAACAGAAAATTTTTTCTCTATATAGTCAAACATGGTTTCTCAGAAATTTATAAGCAAAAAAAAAATTAGCAACAGAAAGAATAAACTAATTTTCTTGTAAATTCACTTAAGTGAAGTCTCCAATGACATTGGAGAAATGAATTATTATTTATTGTCTTACACTCAATTGTATACAAATTGGAAATTAAAATGAGCAAATCCATATTCATATAATATTTTTAAATTGCTTGTTTTTCTTAGTTATATTGCAAGCACCTCTGGGAAATAGGGCATGTATATATAAATAAGTTCCCCAGAAAGTTAAATGTGAAAGAATGAAAAGAACATAAAATTCATTTTGAAAGTATCAATTCACAAAGCTACCATCTAAAGTGAAGAATTGCATATTAATTGAAAACATTTACTTCTCTCTTTAACTGTGAGCACAAACATACATTATTGATTTTCTTTTGATACATTTGAGTATAACATTTTATAATTTTCAAGATATAAGTTTTGCCTATAATTGAAGTAAACATTTCTTTGAATGTTCCCATTATTTAAAAAATGTGCTAACCTTCACTCATTTTCATTTCACTCATTTATATACGCATCAATTGCCTTTGTTGGGCCAAGCACTGACGTGCGGCTGAAGGTGGAATTAACAACGTCCTGCCCTTGGACAGCATATGTTTTAGTGGGAAGAAACATCTCAACATACAAGTGTTAATTTATATTATGCTGTGGTAATTAATACTAGGAAGGAACATTAAATATAAAACAGTGGGCAGGGAGTTTGGGGATAAGGTGGAAAGGGAGAGAATTACTATTTTATGCTGCCTTGTCAAGGAAAGCTTTGACTAAAGGATTGGGTAGCATTTGAGTAGAAATATGAAGAAAAGGAGGAAGAAGCCCACATGAGAAATCAATAGGATCGTGCTAGAAGAAACTCATTCTAGTCCATACATGCTTGATCAGGCTAGCCCATACCTGATAATGATGCAGGACACATTTCTAAAGGGGAATATTCCAATGCATATCGATTATTGCATTTAATGTAATTAAAATAAGTTGATAATTGGTTAAATGATCCACTAGCTAATTTAAATTTAGAATTTAAATGCAGCATTTCTAAAACCATAATGTAGTTTAGAGTTATTTATTACATTAAACAAATTGGCTTCTGTGACAAATTGATCAGAGTCCCAAATTTTACATTTTTTTATTATTCTAAAAAATCAATTAAAATCAATTTAAAAAATTTAAAAAATTAAACTAATAATTTATAAAATATATATAATTAGTCATAATATATGATATATGTTATATATCATAATATATAATATCATATGATATATTTTTATATGATAGTAAAGGAGGAAAGGAGAGATATATGTTATACATATATCATATATTATATATTATGATATATAACATATCATATCAATTATATATTATGATATATAACACATATATCAATTATAATTCATATCATATGATATATGTTATATATCATAATATATAATGATATATAACAATAATCAGAATTGAATTGAGATTAGTGAAGATCAAGGCAAATAAATTATTTTTTAAAAAGGTGACTGAAAAATTATCAGAATGTAAAGCACTCACAATTTTATATTCTTCCAAATTAAAACATAATCTATAATCTTATTATTAACCTAAAAATGCTACAATTACTGTATTTTCTCCTGGAGAATATTATGCTGCATTTTGCTGTTCTCACTACTTCAGACAGATTATATGTATGTGTGTGTGTGTGTGTGTGTGTGTGTGCGCGCGTTTGTGTGTGTGTACCCCTTTCCTACAGGTAACACACAGGTAATATGAGTAAATTTAACTAAGTTTCTCTCAAGCTCTGAAAACTCCAAAATAGTGTCAATCACCAAGAGTTAGCAGACTATGGCCTGCAGGGCCAATCCAGCTCACAGATTGCTTTAGTAAACAAAGTTTTACTGGAGCACAGTTACACATCATGCCTTTATGTATTTTCTATGACTATTTTCATGCAGCAGTAGAATATTGCAATAGATATCATATAGCCCACAAAACTAAACTATTTACTATCCGAGCTTTTACAGAAAAAGTATCCCAACTTCTTATCTAGTGTAACAAGTATTGAAGGAATTTAGGAATCAGAATGAATGATGATTACTTAAGAGTGTCAGATACCATATAATTAATGAATAGAATCTGAAGAAATTAGAGACTACAGATAGGTGGAAAGAGGGTTAAGGATGTTTTAGAAAGGGGGAACACTTCAAGCAACATGAAAGAAACCACAGTGAATTTGAAATTTCCCAGAGATGGTTGTAGCAGCACTCCACACGAGCACATATTGCCATACTGACTATTACATTATACTATCCATTTTTATTTCCAACTGTAATAATGGTTATTACTCATTATCCATTCTAAAAAGTCTGTTTTATTGTTGTGCTAAAACACATATCTCAATCTCCCGCAGACATTAAATACTACAAAATCAGGCAAATCCATAGAGAAAGTTAGAATTTTTATATAATAGTAAAGGAGGGAAGGAGAGAGATAAAAAGAGAACTAACATTTGAAATAATCCAGTATTGTATTTTCCCATATTGGGATGTCATCCAAAACTACAGCCAAATACAGCTATGGCAAATATTTGGTCTCCAGTGTACTTCCCTTCTAGGCAATCTTGGATGAAAACTAGAAGAGCAGATGGGCCTTGAGTTTTATTTTCACACAATTTCAGACAATCATGAAGGCAGACTAGCTATAAGAACTCTGTACTAACTCAAGCTGGAGGAGAGAAAATTATTGGCAAATCGACAGGAAATAGCTGTTGCCCTTTACCTAAAAGGTATAGTTGAGAGGTTTGGCTATTGGCAAGGGATATTGGCAAGAGTTTACAAGATTGAAGGACTTCAGATTATATACAATCGACACAAGAGAATGGTTTTCAAATGCATCTCTGCTGAAATACGATGTCTGAAAAATCTTCACAAAACAATATATGTTTAAGCTATAACACTTCAAATAGATGTTTTATATGACCCATTTGGGAACATAAGCTGAATGGAGGAAAACAACTAAAATCAACAAATGGCTCAAGAACAAAGCAGTGCTAGCTGAACAGAAATTCTAGCAATAACATCCTCATTTTTATGTCAGGAAAAAACGCATGGCAAAAGGCACATTCTGAGTTGAACACATCGCTCAATGATCTTACGTATATATTCCACTTCTGCCTTCTGAAGTTGGAGCGACTCTACCTTTGCCTGTACATTTACCCTGCATCAAGTTGCATGGCTGTTCCTTTCCATCATCAGTAGCACAGCAGCTC